CAACAAGATTTGCTATTCGATCTTTTGGATGCATGACCTAGCAGTTACAAAACAAGATTTTCTGATAACGCGCTTGGGTGGAAGTTAATTTTCCATTTAATGATTACATACCTAGCAATGGCTTGAATTGTTAAATATTCATTTCTTCTTTGTTCATCTACTTTGAACTTTCGAATTGAAATTAGCGTTTTCCCGACTCTATGTTAGAAATTGGGTATGATCCGAATTCCTTGTTGAAATAATTGTATAGTTCTAATTGAAATGCAAATCAAGAGGAATTTTAATTGGATTGCTATTATGGAATCCTATTAAAATTTAATTGTCAAATTCTAGTGAAAGGTCTTTTTGGAAATCCTATTTGTTAGGAAAATGTGTAATTGGCAATTTGTGACCAAAGGACCTATTTGTCAAAATTGTAAAGTCAAGGACTAAATTGTACAGGTCAAATATTTCAGGGACTAAAGTTGCAATTTAGTAAAGGTCATAGCATAGGTCTAGGCTAAAGTGGGATGCTTTGAAGATGCAAACGGCGCGTTGATGTCACTGGAGTTTCGCCCTGACCTTGCTAGAGCCAAAATTGCAGAACTGACCTCGCTGGAGTTTCGCTGGTCTATCGCCTGAGCGAAGGTACGTCGCTCAAGTTTCGCCAGGACCTCACTTGAGCGACTGTGTTATCTGGCCTTTGATAATTTTAATGCCTCGCGAATTTTTAACGCTCCATATTACCAAATTCGACCTACTATATAAATAAAACGTCCGATTTTCATTATGTGACCTTTGGCAAACATTAAAACAACAATTCCTCTCAACTTCCAAAGGATCAAGAGCTAAAATAAATTCATTCTTTTCATCTTTGATTCTCATGGTTCTTTGAATAAAAACATCAACCCTAATAAAACCAAAACACCCTTTCATATCTCCATATAAACTTCCAGAAGATCATCTGTTTGAAGATTCGGGAAGGAAATTACTTGAAGAGCTGGAGTGCTTAGTGATTCACAGGAGGTAGAAGATATTCAAAGCTGGAATTTTGGCGCAGATCTGCAAAATTCAGGATAGCTGTGGTCGATATAGTAAGGAGGTCAGAATATTGTTAGAATCAATAATGTCTGACGTACTGTAAGTCAATATCTTTTATAGTGGATCTCTACTGGCTTGTGCCCGGAGTTTTTACCCAGTTGGGTTTTCTCCGTCAACATTTTGTTGTGTTTTTACTGCTTTCTGTTATTTATTTTTCAACCGGTAATTCAATTTAGGTAGATAAAGTATGTGAATGAATCTAGGCAATGCATAATTGATGTGACTTGTTGCATTAGTTAATTAATTGTTTTAATTCCACATAAACACCTATTCACCCCCCCTCTAGGTGTTGGTTGGGTCAAACTATTGCTTTTTCAAGTGGTATCAGAGCTAAATCTCGAGTCCTGACCCATAGTTGTCTAGATGAGTCAGTCACTTTCTGTACCTCCATATTTTGACGGAACTAATTATGCCTATTGGAATATTAGAATGCGTGCGTTTCTTAAGTCTTTAGATGAGCATGTTTGGGTAAGTGTGCAAAATGGTTGGAAACCTCCCTCTACTATCGTATCAGGAACTGTTAACCTTACCGACATATCACTATGGACTAAGGATGAAATAGCTGAGCATAATTGGAATAGCAAGGGTCTTCATGCGCTGTTTATGGTCGTGTCTCCCGAAGAGTTTAGGAGATTATCAATGTGTGAAACTGCTAAAGAGGTTTGGGACATTCTTGAAACTACACATGAGGGAACTAAAACGGTAAAGAACTCTAAGTTACAAATGCTAACTTCTAGGTTTGAAGAAGTGAGAATGAAGGATGATGAAACGTTTGACGAATTCTATGCTAAATTGAGTGACATTTTTAACTCTAGCTTCAATCTAGGTGAGAAAATTCCCGAGTCTAAAACTGTGAGAAAAGTGCTTAGGTCCCTGCCCGAGAGATTTAGGCCTAAAGTCACTGCCATTGAGGAAAGTAAGGACCTAGATGAAGTTAAAATTGAAGAACTGGTAGGATCGTTGAAAACTTATGAACTCACTATTACACAACCTAAGAAAGGAAAGTCCATAGCCCTAAAATCCATCAAAGAAGATGAATCTTCTGATACTGAGTCACTTAGGGACGAGGAAATCGCATACTTTGTTAAGAAATTTCAAAAAGTTCTCAAGAATAGGAGAAAGCCTCAGGATAAAAAGAGTGGAGCTCCTAGCAGATTCACAAAAGCAAAAACTGAAACGTTTAACAATAAAGGGTCAAGTGATAAACCATGTTTGGTTAGGTGCCATGAGTGTCAAGGTATAGGTCACTATAGGAATGAATGCCCTAGTTATAAGAAGAACCAAAGAAAGAGAAAGGTAGGGCCTTAGATGTCTCACTTATAGATAATGAATCTGAGACCAGTGATAGACAGGAATCTTCTAGCAGTGAGGACGAAAGAAACTATATGGCATTTGTATCGACTGTTAAGAGTGAATCTGATAAGGAGAGTGACAAGGTTGAGGAAGAACTTCCAAACGATAATTCTAGTAATGAGGAAGAGGATGACATAGGCATACAAGGAGCTTATCAACTTTTATTTAAGGAGAGTCTTAAAATCAAAAAGGTCAATAAAGCCCTACTCAAAACGGTTGATGAACTTGAAAGAGAAAAAGAGAAATTTGCTAGTAATCTTCAGAATTCACTTAAGAGTGGCAGTGAGTTAAAGTGTGTCAATGAGAAATTAGAAGACAAGATTAAGACTTTGACTAGTGAATTGGTGAAATCTAATGCTCATCTTCAAACTTTCATAAGTGGGACTAAGAAATTGGACAATATTTTGGAAATGAATAAGCCTGCAGGAGATAGGAAGGGTCTAGGATATGTTGAGGGTAATACACATGTTGCTGGACCTTCTAAGACTGTTTTTGTTTCTGCCTCTAAGAAAGTTAATGCTGTTAGTAGTTCAAATAAGGGTAAGAATGTTCCGAGAGAACAGAGTCATCAATTACGTAGGAACTTCATACCCAGATACCCTCAGCCACGTAACTTTGAGCCTAGGTTCATTCCCACCTGTCACCACTGTGGAGCCTTAGGACACACTAGGCCTAGATGCTATAGGTTAGGGAATGAGCGTAAAAATCTGAACATTCCTAGTCATGTTAGCTTTCTGTCTAATCAGGTTAGTCATTTGACTGAGATGCTTACTAAGCTTACTAGGAGTACTTTATCATCTAAGAAAGTTTGGGTAAAAAAGGGTGATCTAGCTAGACATTTAGGTCAAGAAAAGTGTTTTGTTGCTCATGTTGCATTGAAAGTCCAAAATTACAACATGTGGTACCTAGATAGTGCATGTTCTAGGCATATGTGTGGTAATAAGGCTTTATTCACTACTCTTGATGAATGTAACGGTGGTATGGTTACTTTTGGAGATGGGGGTTCTGCACCTATTCTTGGCAAAGGTACTGTACAAATGCATGGTTTATCTGTGATCTCTAATGTGCTTTATGTGGAAGGTTTAAAGTCTAACTTGTTAAGTATTAGTCAAATTTGTGATGCTGATTTTGAGGTGAGTTTTGTGCAAAAGAGATGTACTGTGTATGATTCGTCTGGTGGGGTGGTTCTTGAAGGGGTTAGAACAACTGATAGTTGTTACGGAGTCTTGCCTAATTCTAACTATGTGTGTAGGGGTGCTAAAATTGATGTGAGTGAACTTTGGCACAAAAGATTAGGTCATTTGAACTATAAGAGTCTAGTACAAAGGAGTTGGTAGATGTTTTGCCTAAAATAGGTCCTAGTGAAAATGTTGTGTGTGGACTATGTCAACTAGGTAAACAACTTAAGGGGAACCATAAGAAGACTTCAAAAATTCTGACCAAAAGACCCCTAGAATTGATACACATGGATTTAATGGGACCATCTGGGACTGAGAGTTTAGGTGGTAAGCGATACATTCTTGTTGTGGCAGATGACTTCTCGAGATTCACATGGATAGAATTGCTTAGGAAAAAATCTGATGCATGTGATCTCATAAAGTCTTTGTGTAAACGACTTAGCAATGAACTGGATCTCAAAGTGTCTAGAATGCGTAGTGACCATGGAAAGAGTTTGAGAATTTTAATCTTGAGAGTTTCTGTATAGATCAAGGGATATTGCATGAGTTCTCTTCCCCTATCACTCCTCAACAAAATGGGGTGGTTGAAAGGAAGAATCGGGTTCTTCAGAACATGGCTAGAGCCATGCTTCATGGCAAGGGACTAGCCCTACATTTTTGGGGAGAAGCTGTTAACACTGCATGCCACATAATTAATAGAGTTTACCTTAGACCCAAGACCGATCAGACTCCATATGAGATACTTAAGGGTAAAAAGCCTACTGTTAAGTACTTTCGAGTGTTTGGGAGTAAGTGCTACATTTTGCGTGATAGAGAGAATTTGAGTAAGT